TTTGGCTTCCCCGCCCTCTTGCTACCTTGGATGATTCTCCCTGCCATGAATGCGTGGTCTACGCACCCCCTCTTCTTTCGGAAACCTGCCTGGCCCTCACTTATCCTACGTTCCTTGCCGGGGGGGGGGCGGTGTTGTACTCATAGTCGTGCATGCCGTAATCGTTAGACCATTGATCTCGCATCCCTACAAAGCCGGGACGGAGCACGCCGGGTTCTCACCGGACCAGGCTCTCACATCACCAAGCGCGAAACATCGTGAGGTATTCGGCGAGTCGCATAAACGGTGCGCTGCATCCTGCTAAGGGTGTTCGGCATCTTGTGCTTACTTCCTTGCGTATGACTTAATTTATTTTCTGGTTCTTTCACTTCCAGAGACAGTTGCAAACACTGTGTAACTGCCTCGAAGGCGCTTGACCAATTTTGCACAACGTGGTGCGATCATCCTCTTTGCGCAGAGTGAGGGTAATCGACCCCGCACAATATGATCTACTCGACCACCATTATGGCTACCGCAAATAAAAAACAATAGGAAACAAAAAACCGGTAAGCTGGTTGCCGAGCTCACGAAGTGATCGGCTTGTTTTACAACATTGCTGCCAAGCGACGAAAACCCATCCCCGATGGCAAACAACGAGAGGGGGGGAAGGGTTCTTTTTTCTGAAATAACCTCTCCCCGGGAAGGAATCGAAATAGGGGGGGAGAAAAACTCCGATTTCACGCCTCAAGCCCGAATAGTTAATGGGGCTCCGAGGATTACGTCTTCCCCCTCTCTTGGTATGCCCTCACACCACAATACGCACAGTCAGTACGCTGATTCACCCTTATCCATCTTTCAACGTGTACAGTAACATACCAAACGTATCCAACGTACCCTATCCCTTCAGCAGGCGTTGGCAATATTTTGCCTGTTTCATATCGTAGAGCACCTCTTGCGAAAACATACATATCGTTTGCTTCTTGATGAAGATGCCCCTTTTTCGTCACCCTTCATGCCGGCTACAGAAGAACATGCTATTGCAGGCGGTGGTATGGCACCCACACGACCACTCCGTCGTTCCCAGGCCCTCATCACCTTAGTTGCCATGTGCGGTTGATCCGTGCTCAGCAGAAGGCCTTCATAGTGCACGGTACAGAGTAGGGCGTTTTCTTTTTTTTGTTGCCCGTGAATTATTTTCCTAACGCCAGGTATCAGAGGAGGGGGACAAGCAGCCCGTGGTCATGGGGTGTGGCCTAGCTCGTACATCGGGGACTTGAGCTGGAATGAAAAATTTATTGAATGCATGTGGCACCGTGTTGAAGCATGCCGTTTCTGTTAGCGTCGCATCCCATGATGCCTGGCTTTTGTGTTGGAGTGTAGGACAGGGCACGATGGAGCTGGACTTCGTACAATTTTAAACACGACACTCTTCTCCTCCCTTTGTTTCAGCAGCCGTGAGTATGGAATGCAGATCTTTCACTACTACTTGGGCTTGTGGTGGGGTGATGACGGCGAACAACACATATTTCTAGACGTGGCCCTCAAAGGGTTCGCTGTTCGTGTGTAAGGTTCCTTGGCTACCTGTCATCGACCCAAGGCAGAGGCATTGCGACCACTTACCAGGTAGTAGAGAGCTGCCGCATCGAGGCCCTCAAACATCCCCTAACCCTATTTTCTACTTACGCACATCATGTTTACCTCCCCGTGTCCGTCCTGTCGTCCTGTCAAATGGACGGGCGGCGATTTTACCACCAGGTGGCCGTCGTGCCTACAGCACCGACACCGATGGCCAATCGTTCCTTCCTACCATGCCAAAGGTGGCTCAAGTAATGTTTCCCTACCCTATCTATTTTTTTTAGATTATTTTTTTTCTCCCATCATTGGACTCTGTCGTCTGCCCCTCTGGCCCCCGTCCTCCACTTCTACTAGCTAGACGACCCAACCGGGGTCACATAGGAGGGGGGGGTTGGACCCCCTCCTGCGGTTCCTGCCTGAGATATTTTTATCGCGAGAAGGCTGCAGCAATCCCTTCCCTCGTGACTTATGAAGTCGATCTAGTTTACTAACAACGAGCTACCCTATCCTAGTGATAGAAATTCCAGGCGTTTCAGCCCACTTACTTTTCAGCCCATATAGCGGCCGTCTTCTCCTGGGAGGTGAGGGGGGTACTCATCACTGTGGATGCCGTAGTCGTTAGACGATGGACCTCGCATCCCTACAAAGCCAGGACGGAGCACACCGGGTCCTCACGGGACCAGACTCGCACATTACCAAGCGCGAAGCGCCCTGATGTATTTGGAGAGTCGCTTGGAGGGTGTGCTGCATCCTGCCAAGGGTGTTGGTTGTCTTGTGCGAACTTTCTTGCACGCGGATGACAGCTAGCTGCGAATGGGTCTCATTTATTTTTCTGGTGCTTCCACTTTCAGAGACGGAAAATAGCACTGTGCAACTGGCTCGACCGTGCTTGGCCAATTTAACACAACGTGGTGCGGTCATCCCCGTTGCGCGGAGTGAGGGCTCTCGGCCTCACACAACATGGTCAACTCGACCACCGTCATGGTTACGGCAAAAAAAGAAAGGAAGACAAAAAAAGCGTTACGCTGGTTGTGGAGCTCACGAAGCGATCGGCGTGCTTCACAACGTCGTTGCCAAGCGAAGAAAAGACGTCAGCCGTGGGGCGGACGAAGGTACAGCGAGACTTTGGGGAATAACGTCGCTGAGGATACACATGCCTCATGGTAACGACCCATGGTAACGACCCGCTCGTGCAAAGCGTTCGTTGACTCGATCACACCGCTACAGGGGTGTAGCCTGCGCCAAATGGGGGTAAGCGGGAGAGCCCTAAAACACAGGGTCAATGTATCCGCAGTGACGCCGCCGCAGATGTGTGGAAAACATGACGCTGCCGAACACGTTGGGCAGCTTTACTGTGTACGCTCGTGATCATCGCGTCGATGTGCGAGTGTGTGACCTCTCGTAACACCTTTTCAGGACGACGTTGTTGGTGGGCATGGTACACCAACGGTTGTCGAATTTAATGGGCCCGCATTACAGTAATATTGTATAAGTAGCTCTGCGGTGGTAGAGGATGTAAGCGGGTGGCCTCCTTTTGCGGCCGTCCTCTCGATTTTCCTCGTGCACAATCACAAATCGCTAACGCCCGCAAGAATTGAGAGAAATGGGCGGAGAGAAACCCAAGTGCATGACAACTAAATAGTCTACCCCACGGGCCTCCGTGAGATATTTAGAAGCTAGAACTATGTAGTCTGTATTTGTGTGTGTGTTTTACATACATTTCAATTGTTTCTTCCACAGGTGTTCCACGGCGCCTTCGCCCTCCCTCCCCCTCCCCACTCCCGCCCCCTCCCCCCTCCTCCTCCCACCTCTTCTACGTTTCCGTCGGCTGTGGTACACGCAAGCTCGCCCAGGGGCTACTTGGATTGTACTACCCCCGTGGTTGAGTTGTGCCCCCTTTAAATACGATTTATTTGTATGGGCTTGTTTTAATGAGCCGCGGAGCGCGAAACGCGATGTTTTTCCCCTTCATCCTCACTCAGGAGGGAAAAAAACGCTCTAAGTATCGAGCTCTTTCAACCATCGCGCTGTAGAGCAGCCCTTCCGCAACCCCCCCCGGGAACGGCACGTCAATAAATTATCGCCTTTATTATTTGACGAAAACGAGGTCTTTAAGATCACCGATTTATTTGCGATCTGCTGGGTTGTGAGGAGGATACTAGTTAGGGCACTCTCGTCACGCCGGTTTCGGCGCGCTCCGGCAATAGATGGTCGTGCTTTCCGGTGTCCATGGACACGTCCATAGAAATGTCAAATAATGTATATCATTGCTTTTCTCATGCTATTTCCTTCTGCCTGCCGAACTATCGAAATACCTGGTGACCTGGTTAGACTACTAGTCTACAAGTACGCCTGTAGTCTTATCGCCTGCTACGTTCGGTGCGACCCAGGGTGCACTCAACGCTTGAGCTGATGCGGGAAGCCGTGCCTACGTTCGAGAACAACGCTTTCATCCGAAAAATCCTCCTCGAGGTTAAGACGCTTTTCGAGCGCATGGATGACTTGGTGCAGCTGTGCCTGCCCCAGGAGCAGCAGCACGATGAAACGTCGTCAACACTCCGAAACGCGGCGCGTACTGCCAAGCGGGTTTATTTCTCGGAGCAAAACCTCAAGATCCTGAAGGAGTACTCGGACAAGCTCGACAGCATCAAGCTAGACTTGAGCGTGCGAATGCAGGTGGTGGCCAAGCAGCAGGCTAACCGCATGGAGGCCTTCCTCACCCAAGACAAAGGGACTGACCCATCGTTGAAATTGATGAAACGCCTGATGAAGGGCAACGTCGTCGATGAGGAACTTGAGGAGCTTGATGAAACGTTGGGATGCGGGTCTTTCGGTGTGGTCATGGCCGGGAGATACTACGGAAAGCCCGTTGCCATCAAGAGGGCGTTGAGCAGCGTATTTAGCGCTGAAGACAGGGAGAGATTTAGGTGAGGGAGTCGTGGAAGGTGCACGCAATGGGCAACGCGCGCACCACGACGTCGAAGCTTCAACATTCACACCCTGTGTTTAACACCACTATTTACGCCGAGGCTGCTGCAAGCTTGTTTAGCTATGTAGACCGTTCCTCCCAGTTGTACTGGTGCTTGCCTGAAGGCGTCATGTGTGTATTGCAATGGTAGGTTCCAACTCAACATCTCCCGCCCGGGGTCACTCAGCAAGAAATACCATCTCGGTGAAAGTGTTCAAGTCTTCTAAGAGCTCACCACTTCCTCCCATCGGGTTGATATCTGCTAGGCTATACCAGGTAGTAGCTGCAGCAGCACGTAGGCATACAGCTAATAGCGACAGCTCGTTTCATGTGCATTTTGTTTTTGTGCGAGGCAACAGACGGGAAGCGAGCACTCACTTCGCCCAGCGCCATGATCGAATTGTCCAAGTCATCGCGTTTCGCACCGGAGGTGGCTCCCGCCCTCCCTGTTTAGTCATGGAACGCATGGACCGCACACTCTTCCACTTCCTTGGGATAAGCCCGGCTCCGCTCGACTTGTCTGGTTCCCTTCCATACATGATCGACATCTGTGAGGTGCGTGTGCGCCTACGGTACTTGACTTCTGGCTAGTATAATTTTTCTGCATGTGCAATTCAAGACGATTCATGACCAACTGCCATCGTATGAGTCGCCTTGACCACAAAACCGGCATGGAGGGGAGAGGGAGAGCTTGTCAGCATGACGCAGATCCCGTGGCACAAGCCTTTCTGCAATATCTGCACGTTTTTCTGCGAAGCGAAAGCTCAACATCGGAAGCACAGGGGTTTCGTACAAGCATAATTTTTCCTTCGTCATCTGACGAGCACACAATATTTTCGGGGTTGTGAGAATACCCCACTCCATATGCGTGCGACTACGGCACGGCCGTGTCTGAGACACTGCGCGACACATGTGCTCCCTTATCAATCCACTCCTGATCTCTTTGAACAGGGGTTGAAGTACCTCCATCAAGGTGGTGTGTTGCACCGTGATATCAAAAGCCACAACATTCTGCTCCGCAACGGCGGGGCAAAGGTGTCCGACTTCGGACTCGCTACTCACGGCTGCTCAACTATGGGCCGGAAGACTGGAAACAACCAGTTCATCGATGAGAAGGTGCTACAGTTTGGTAGTCCCACGAAGGTTTGGCTACGGCCCCTCGAATCCGATACGTCAAGGGTTTTTTCGTGTTCGTAGTGTACGGGTCTTATCTTGGTCGTTGCCATCGTGCGTGCGACTCTCACAGGAATGGTCCCCAAGATTTCGAGTTAACATTTCCCTTGGTCTCGATTGATTCGACACCTTCCGCTCTTTGTCGCGAGTGTCACCGCACTCCTCCACTCGGCTGTGAAGCGTTTCTCGCACCGGCCTCACGAGTTTTTTCGATTAATCTCGCTTCTGAAGAGATGAAGACAGAGCTTCCCGAGAAGACGTATCGTATGATTTTGGAATAGTCTTGGTCGTGGAGTAGTGTAATCGAGCTCGTTTGCTTCACCACGTCCTCCGTCGTGATGCTACCAGCATAAGGCACGTTTTGATTGGGGGCCCTCGTGAAGCGGCCCCCAAACTTTCGTACTTATTTTGATTGGGGGGGAGCTCGTGAAACTGACCCAAATTCTGCAAGGTGCATTTGCAGGGAACGTTCTTGCAGGTTGCGCCCATATCGAACCCATATCAAAACAAAGGAATAAAGGGTGTGGCCGTGTAGTGAACGGTGGGTACCCGTGTAGGCGCCCCATTGGTGAAGTACACCCAAGACATGCATACTCCTTGGTGTACCCTTGTTAGGCCGGCACGAAATTTTGGATGGCCCCTGAAATTCTCAGCTGGGGAGAGAGCTCTTTCGATTCGGACGTGTTCAGCTTGCACGTGGTGCTGTGGGAGGTGAGCTCGCAGACATGCTAGGGTGGAGACTTGCTGGAAACTATGTCGGGTAGAGTGGTAGACAGCGACTGAGAGTATACCTCGGCCTATCATTCGCCACAGAAAGGAAGGCCGTCGGTAGGCCATATGCGGAAGATCGATTATCGGTTTTCCAGGTCGCACAGTGCAACCAAAGTTACGAAGGCTTCTGCATGGGTGACACGTACATCCACATCAACTTTGATGCCTTGCACGCCTTCAGATAATCGAAAATCGACAGGGGGGCACCGGCGATGCGATTGGTGACGTTCTTCGGAGGAACCGGCTCGCAAAACTTCCGATTGAAGGGGAGGGGGACGAGCGCGACCCGGCCACAATGCGCCTACACAAACTCATCCGCACGTGCGGCTTACTGGAACGGAAGGATCGACCGAAAATCGGCGAAGTCTTGGCGGAGGCGACAAGCATCTACGACTCGCTTCCTAGGTCAGGTAAGATGCGGGTCGGAGGGGGCAGTTGTTGACCCCTCGTGTGAAGAAGAAGATAACGGGGAGGGAGGGAGGAAGGTTGTCGGTCCGCCGGTCACGGTGGTTCTCCCAAGGGTTGCGACCCACCAGGTGGCAACCCGAGTTGGTGGGCTGTCGACGCGGTGTCGAATAGTGCACCCAAACCATCCGTGAACCGCCCCAATTATCGTGCAAGAAGGCCTCACGCCCATTTTCTAGGGGTTGAGAATCGTCCTAAAGCATTTTCGTGCTTGTAGGCGTGCTTGTAGGAATACCTTGTCCACAAACTGGAAAAAGGGTGCCAGCCATGTATGTACGGGAGCATCACCAAATGTTGTCGTACTCCCCGGCATAGCGCGCAGAGAATGCTTCGTTCTCTCCCGGAGTTCTGACGCTCGCCCAAGCATGTGCGATCCGCCCAAAGCGCAGGGGGAAGAGTCTCACGCACAGGAGAATACCACCCTCGCCCGTTTCTTCCCCCGTGGTTCCCGGATTAGGGGGTGCCGAGGAGCCCAGCGCGGCGACCACCTATCCTCTACAGGGCCGTGATGAGGAAGAAGGACATCTCCGGCCATCAGAATCCAGAAGACGGGCCCAGGAGGCCGAAAATTCCGACAGTTTGAGAGCTCCTTGGGGAAGTTGGAAAGATTTTGACCCTTGCGGTGTGGGGGCCGAGAACAAACGCGAACAGGTGATTTCCACAAAGGGCACTGAACCATCATTCGTTTGCCTCTGGCGTGTTGTACAGACTATCTAGCGTAGACCATTCAGCGTGTACATATTGCCGGTGTTCGTTGCGTGTTTTACCCTTCCGCTCGTAGTACACATCCATCTCAGCGTTTTGAAAACAATATTCACGATTGTAATGACAAAATCGTTCTGTTGTTTCTCGCTCATCCCCTCAATATTCTAGCTGAAGGAGTATTTAAGGATTCAGGCTGGAATTTTTTCCGTTCAGTACTTTACGTGGCCTCGCCCCTACAACTACATGTACCAACTTGCGCCACGATGAGTATTTCCCGATACCTAACACTGGCGGATTTCGTTGATGAGACGGTTACAGCGACGGATACGAAGAAATATACACTTACGGGCATGACAAAAAGCCTTCATTGCTCAGTCGATAACTGTGGTCGTGGCTGATTGATGAACCAAGCACACTCCCTTCGTCGAATTTAGGCTTCGGCTACCAGTGACGGCGGGAGCAACTGCGTCCCAACAACAGTTGCGACATCGGCTTCGGAAAGCGAGGTGCGCATTTCGCGATATATTCTTCGATACTGTACGTCGTTCATATCATCATTCGCACATGAAGCAAAACCACGACGGTTTTATGGATGAGTGTGTAAATAAAGTTGGCCGCTTCTATTTTCACTACATCAATTGCACCTACGATGCCATTTTGTTCTCATTCGGAAGCATGCTGGGGTTTCTGTCTGTCTGTGTTTGAGATGCAGAATTCTAGACCATTTTTGTATGAGAGTTTCATATGAACAGCAGTATCAAACCGTGAGTACGATCACCGCGCGTGGTCAAATTGCAACAAGCCATCGAAACAAGAGAATTTTACTTTTAATCGCAATTTTCCGGCTTCGCGCCGTCCCCCATGTATTGTACAGGCCGAGACGGCGGATACTCGATACATGTAGCAGGAACTACCTTGGTTAAGATGCTTGCGAATTCTCGCAACATTACAAATCTGATTGTTCGTTTCGGGCACAATGGCCAGAACTGAACCTGACCTTTAGTTTCGATTCTCCCAATCGCTTCTCCCCCGCCCTAATGATTGCTATCTGCTTTGTACAGGATGACCCACTGTGGCGAAAGCCCCCCCCACAAGTGATTTGCTGGGGCGGAATTTGGACAATATCCCTGATTCCGCTTGGGCTCATGATCCACTATTTTTGCAGTATCCCTGCTCTATGGGGGCCGTTTCTTGGTCTCTCCTTAACCATCAGCTTGGCGGTTGCCTTTGCATTTATCAAGGAGGAGAACAACCCAAAACGTCACAGTAGGGGGTTATGTGCCCTTGTTGTCTGCTGCTCTTTGAGTAACCTGTTATATGTGGCTGAATCATGTCTCGTAGTTGAGGTGATTGCTGCATCTGGAGTGTTTGTTCTCTTTCTCATTGCCATGCGTTGTTTTGCCTAATTCGAATATGCATAGGTAAGATCTGACTGGGCGTGATTTTGTTATGGAGGTGTAGGACACGGGTTCGATTCTCCGGTTGTGCACATTGACATTTTCCCATGGGCACAAGCAAGTGTGTGTCAGTCTTGAGAGCACCTCTTCGAGCCTATCCTAAAACAAATCTGTGACACCTCTATCCAATGACCCGTCCTGGCCCCAATGGGTTCCCAGTTGAGGGTAAGTTCTGTGAGTGGAGAGTGTTAAGGAGGGCCCGATTCCCAGGGTATCCAGTCGATTGACAATTTCAGAATCGGTTGAACGAAATGAGCATGGCTGCCTGGCTGGGCTTTGCTTCACTGCCTTCGTATATCTATCTATCCTGCTAAGCATTTTGATGATGGCCAGCGGGCACGGTAACGTCCTTGGTGCGTGAGGCCCACTTGTTTTCGTCTGTTTCGTCTTCACGTTTGTGGCAGACGGTATTGCGCGCATAACCGGTCGTAGTTCGTGCTGGGAGATGCTCGCCATCCCTGGAAGAAGGTGTTTCTTTGTTGTTGCCTTTTTTCTCTGCTGTTCATAGTACCGAGTTTGTCGTTCGTTCGGAATTCGCTCTTTGTGGCGCTGGTATGTTCCTCTGGGCTTGGCGGCTATTTGTGTCGCTACTGTTGCTGCAGCACGGGAAAATCACGCGAGACGGGCTCTCCAGACCCCCCGAACCCATGATGTCATTGCCTGAGCAGAGCGTGCCCGGACATGAACCACGTGTCAACGTTCTTTGTTTGTTTGTGTCTTGTTGGGGTTGGTTGAAGGCGTTCTCGGGGGCGAGCGTAGTCCTGGGATGGATACTTTGCATCGTTTGGAGATAATCGGTGGTCAACAAATGGAGGTTATGAGAATATTATTGTGCAAGTGTAACTGCCTGTATATTGGGCCCCATCTTACTTGCATCATGTAAATGGAGTAGGCAAGCGCAATAATCGAGGTTGATATCGATTGCCGATCGGTAGCGTCATGAACAGTTTGTTTTTTGTCAGTGCCCGGTCAGAATGCCGGATGAGCCACTTGCGTTGGCAACGACATTATTTGCTCTGTTGAGATGAATCGAGCTGGACGTCTGCCGTTGCCTACAGTGTTGCTGATGTCATCAGAGTTAATGTATTTTATTCTGTATGTCGAATCTGCAAGGTAGGCGATGGCCAGGTTACCCACGCGAGCTACGTCCGCCAAGAAGACCCCTTCGGAGAGGACCCGCACAATGAGTTGAGTTCAAGGATTAGATCTACTGTAGGGGATCAACGCAAGAAAGGAGAGCAATTCTCACGTAGGCATCGCAGGAAGGCAAAGCGGTGGACGCGCGTGTTGAAATTTTTCGTTTGGTATGAATTGGGCAATTTTTTTCTTTTTGCAACAACAACGTGTTTCTATTTCTTCGTGTTGTCGGAGAGGAAGAATGCAATGCACCTCGCTCTGAAGTGCGCCATTGTATGTAGTTGTTATTGCGTTCACATCGATGGCGTTGAGACATTGATCCAGCAGAGACAGGGTGGTATGAATGAAGACACGACTATGTACGGAAGTACAGCAGTATAGCTCAGGGATAATCACAACCCGAAGAACCCACCACAAACAATCCTGATCGCCCGGCAAAGGCAAGGAAGGGTGTCAATCAATCGCGGACCACGATCTCGGGTGAGTTTTTCAAACGGGGGGAATCTTCTTGCGTATCACTGCGCCGTACAGAAGAAGCGTTTGTTGACCTTGGAACCTAAGAACCGTCCGACAGTCCGACACCACCCTGCCGCTATGATACGGCAGGTGGTACGCACGACAGTCCGGAGAACTACGATGTGGTCGTCTTTTCAACTACAGCTGCGTAGGCTATGCAAGAGTTTGGAATACAGTTAGCGCCAGCAATTAAGAAACGCTTATTTCAGGTCCAGCCTCGAATTCTTATTGTGGGCTATAAACTCAGCGTATGTCGTTCAGTTTCTTATATCACGTTTCTTATTTTTTCGTGCAGCCAAATCCTGCTGAATTTCTTAAGTCGGCAATCTTTTATTTCTCTGCTTTCCTCGCCTCCCGTACTCAACCCCGATTCTCACTACCGACGGCTGCACGTAAGGCCACTCCCTAGAAGCGAAATGTATTCAACGGCAACGTCTTGCTATCGCTACAAGGTCTTGTACCCCCCTCATGAGTGAGGGCTGAAACTAAACAAATGCATGAACACCGCATGATGCCTCACCCGCACGCTGACATGCCAACAACGAAAATCAGAGCTTCAGCGCCAGCAGAGCAGAGCGCAGAGCCCGCAGGGGGCCGGAGGGGGCGCCGCAAAAAAAAACACTCCCCCCTCGGCGTACAACTAATAATAATGCACTATGGGAGGGGGGGGGTAGGGGGAGAGGGGGAACGAGCGAGAGAGCTGTGGGGTTTGTTTCTTATTCGACACACTCCCCCGTAACCCCTCGTTTCTTATGTAGTAGGGCAGCGGTCGCTGCTGTGTTTCTTATTGAGATATTTCTTATTGTGTGACTCAGATTGAGCAATGTTTCTTAACCCTATTTTCTTATTTTTCGTTAAAAAGTGAGCCTCAACTTCTTAACAAAATATTTCTTAATTGCGGGCGCCAACTGTCTGTATGTTTCGAGGTCGGCGGCGCACGAGGTGTTCTGGTACTACGTCCGTGCACCATGGCTCCGTTTTTTGCACCTCCACCATGGCGCGGGGGGCTTTTTCTCGAGTGCAACCTTTTATGACCACGGAAAAAAAGAGTTTCTCCGTGTTGAAGAGTGGGTAAGAAGATAGAGGCAACGGAAAGAGGCCAGAGAAAGGGCTCTAAAAGCGAAGATATAATTATTTTTTTGCTCGGGCATGAGAGTCAAGGATTTCTTTTTCACGTGGTGTTTGAATCTTCTCCCTGCCGGAAATTGTTAAAGAGGTCCAATGCCTGTGTTTCATTCGATTTCTCCCCAGGGCAAGGCACCGAAACAGCGCTCGAAACTAGAACATATACTTTTTTCGTGGAAGTGCGTCCTACTGTAGAATGCCCACTTCTCTCTCGTCGTTACCGAGAGGGGCGTTGAAACGCGATCGCCGCAAGGACAAAAGTACACTCGCGTACGCACAATTTTGGACGAACATTAGATGCGTGCTGATCTGCTCGTGCCAACATCATCAACAATAATTGAAAACAAACGTTTGCCGTATCGTCAATTTTGCGTGCACGCCTTAGCTTTGGCCTGGTGGCGACATGTTTGAAATCGCTCCATGGTTCGATGGAATGCACCGATTTCCGGCGGAGTGAAGCATGGCGTCGTCGGTAAAACGCACAACAAATAGTTACGATACCCCCAGGTGTTACTTTTGTTTTGTCAAGACCCCAGTGTTGCGTAAGACGATGTTTCTACAGAATACGATGTACTCAGTAGAAAACACAACGTCCCGAATTTAGGGGGTTTATGGTGCAAATATCCCCTCTGGTGCAGTTTTCGCCGACTTCTCCCGGTGTACCTTCGATAACATCGGTCCTGGCCACCGTCAACGGGGAAACACGAGCTCAACGACATGCACAGTAGTAATACCGATGACCTCACGTCCAAACTCTGATCTAAACGCGTTTTGAGCACAAAACGAATAATAAAAAAGAGCGGGAAAGATGAGCCGGGGGGAAACTCGAGGCTGGGGGTAGCACAAAGAAAGGTGTCCCAAGAGTTGACGCCATATTTGATTTTGGGGGGAGTGAACCCAGTGAGAGGACTGCGTTGAATATTGCCATTCACGTAGTAACGGCTCGCACCAGCAATGTGAGTCTGTGTAAGCCTGCGTCATCGTTGACATAAATGCGTCGGCATGTGCATTGAGGGGTGGGGGCGGGAGGAAGGCGCGCCACCGTGCAGCTGACTTGAAACTGCCGAAACCTCTACCTGCCGTCAATGTCGACGTTGTGGTTGTGTATCAGATGTATTGTTCTTGAGGCTGCCCGCACTGTAAACAAGCAGGCCCACCGTCTCCCCCGTATTCCGGCCTTTGTTGCCCCCCCCCTCTCCCCCCCTTGGACTTGGCCTCTACTTCGACAGATCGAGCATATATGCATAGAACAGGCCATTGTAGTAGCCACCGCCCACTCCCCACCCTTCCTTCCTCCTCCCGCCCGGTACGCCCAACTAGGCGGTACGATGACGCCTTATGCGTCAACTGATGAACACCAGCTGTGTCGAGGTTTTAGTATGCGTTGCCGTGCCAGACACATTCCGCCGAACCATTGCGGTAAATCCTTACAAAGCATACACACACCACCGGCGGAACGGGTTTGGTCTAGACACTGCACAACAAAGGGGATGTTCTCTTTGACCCTTCTACAATAGGGCTCGCTACGAGAAAGTCAACAGCGTGTCCAACTCCGATATTCAGTGTAGGTAAATATATGTGCTGTACGTCAACACTTGGGGGTCTTTATTCGCTATGACCATCTTCGACCCACAAGGAAGGAAGGAATGTTAAGGTTTACTAACAACACTTGCAGGAGGCTCTCGAACCATGCGAACCACAACGCACGACGAAAAGTGAGAGGAGGGGTTCTATTTCCGACCCACCGGAAAAAATTGAGGGTGGGTCGGGTGGGAGGGGGGCAGGCAACTCTCAACGCTAACAACCCGACTAGTACATCGGGGACAAGGCTCTACGGAAAAATAGCTCAAATGTGTCAGCACAAGAATAGGACGCTCGCGGGCATCACAGGACACTCGCACCCGTCGCGAGTGTGCTTTCCACACACACACTCCTTCGCTTGACTTGAATTGAAAGATACGAACACCTCTGTATCTAAACCGTATTCACTCGTCGACACCACCGAACACAATGACAAACCAACACTCTGGGCCAATAATAATATAGCTAGCTTTGCCTGGTCATCCGACGTCCATGTACGTAAGACATCGACTCAGACAAAGCAGTAGTAGTCTAAGCATGAAACAAAGACAAAAAAATCCGAACAAAGTCCGACATTATTTCGAGCTTCACGCCACAGCTCACTACGCAACTACAATAATAGCGTTTCTTGGGTCTAAACCTACTACCAAGTTTGCACGACCTGCCCGCGGCCGCCTCTCTTGGGCCGTTGCTCCATAAGCAACGACACGAACACTGGACTCTACATAACGTTGAGGCAGAAACTCAGAAATGGCTCTTACTGCTGTAACGGAGTGCGCCACAACAACAAAATGGGAAACCAAATCTACTCTCCTCTTTCCCCTCCCTACCCCAACACCCCCCTCCCCACTGCAAAACCCGAACACAGAACACCGACTTATGATGTGATGTTATTCGTAAGCATGACGCATGCCACTACTCCTCTCTCCGATACCAATTTGCAAGAGTTCTCACGAGCGCGACCCGGGAAATAAACAAACAACCAAAACACATGAAGTTCTCTTTAACAGAACGGAGCCGATGAAGGCATGCCAAGAGACCATTTTCCCCGTCTTGAAATACATAAAATATACCGTCGATGAAGGCGAGCCAAGAGATCGCGTTCCCCTTCTTCAAATAGTCTACCCAAGAACGATATATATCTTCTAGCTTTAGCAAAAGCCCTCCAACACGCACTGCTCTTCCGGCACGATGGCGCTACACCTGCACAATCTCCCACACTACTGACAGTTTTGCTAAACCGCCCATGGGACACCCATGAGTCGCCCATGGGCATGCCCATGGGCGGCCCATGAAGTGCCCACCGTGGACACTTCAACCTAGACGTTCGCCACCGGCATATCAACCTAGAACTTAACCACCAGCGCCAACCTAGCACGTATCATATGGGCTTGGGGTTAGGGTAAGGGTTAGCTTTAGGGTTATTGGCCGCTATAGTGCCCGTCCAAAGCAGAAAATCTATTGTTTAGGAGTAAACTGGTTGGTTGAAGGGCTCTCGTTGGCCGCCCATGGGCTTCCCATGGGTCACCCATGGGCAAGCCATGGGCGGCCCATATGGGCATGCCCATGGGTCACCCATGGGAGTCCCATGGGTCGTTTGGGAAAACTGTAGAAAGTGTGGGAGACCCCCCGGAGAACACTCACTCAACAATCGTACAAGTTGTCGACGCCGCTTCGACTACACTTTAGAGAGCGAGAGAGAGAGAGGGAGAGAGAGCAAGTACCTGCCCTTGATACATGCAACCAGCACCACCGACGACGCCATACCGCCAACAACGAGAAACCGTCTTTTCCCACCGAAGCAAGCCTCTTGCCGACGGCATGATTATTATGAACGCGAACACTGTGTTCGCCATCATCCGCTTTCAACTACCCTGACTGCAATTTGGAAGCATGAGGGGCAGCCATGGACGGAATATCGTGTGCGTATATGTCGTGCTCAGATATTGTATCGTGCCGTATCAAATATTGGTGCAGTTCGTTTGTCATTTCACCAACTTTTGGCCTCAATCTCGGGCGCCATGCTTCGTATCTGTTGGCAAATGGGAGCTTCGTTTTCTTCTGAGTACACTGCTGTTTCTTTTGTTCATTGGAGGCAACGCCTGGCAACGCCTGGCTTCTTGGCGCACAAGTAGACGATCACTTTGATATGTGGTGAAATTCGAGTGGCATCAAATGTGAAGTTTGCTGTTGAAAGGCGATTCACAGGCAAGCTTTCACAGGGAAACGTGACCTCAACGACTTGGCACAGCACCAACAACGAAAACGTCAACCCATCCATGATTTATATCGACGAGTGCACGTGTTTGGGCACACGCCGCGTCAAAGAGACGGACGGAGACAAGGTGTTTTGAAGGATTTCAAGAGGGGGGGGGGGTCGTCGACGGAAGACAGCACCGGGATGAACTCAATACTCTCTCTACAGAATGACTCCGTTTATTTGGGGGGAGTTAATCCAAACGAGAGACTGCGTGGTGGATTCACGCAAGACGCACAGCAGGACCGCGTCCACTTTGAGTTGCATGTGGAGCCTGTGCCATGATTGAGGCGGGGCAGCGGGAGCGTACCGCCACCACGCAGATGTCCCAAATCAAACGAATCCTTTACTCGGGAACTCTTTTCGAACTGAGGTGCATTGTGGTTGTTCTGGAGGCGAACCATACGGAAAACGTCGCCCCCGCACTCCGGCCATGGGTACCCCCCTCCTCCTTTCCTTGGACTTAGTTCCTTTTGGCCCCGCCTTGGCTGATGGAATTGTAATCTAGACATTGCCCGCCCACGTACCCTTTCACCTCCCGCCCGATACCACGCCTAACCAAGCGGTACGATGACGCCTTACCAGTCAACTGATGAACGCCAGCTGTGTCGAGATTGAAGTGTGCACGCCGTGCCTGACACATTCTGGCGCACCATTGCGGTAAATCCTTACAAAGCGCACACACACACCACCGGCGGAACGGGTTTCGCCTAGACACTGCACAACAATACGAACACCCCTCCCTACGGGTGCACAGCACATGACCCTTCTAGGCCTCGCTACGAGAAAGTCTACCGCGTGTCCAACATCTGATATTCAGTGTAGGAAAATACATGTATAGTATGTACTGTACACTCACAGGAGAACGTCAACACTTGGGGGTACATTATTCGCTATGACCATCTTCGATCCACAACGAAGGAATGTTAAGATCTACGAACAACATTTACAGGAGGCTCTCGAACGAACCATGTGAACCACAACGGACGACGAAGAGTGAGCGGAAGCGGTCTATTTCCAACTCAAAGAGAAATTGAGGGTGGGTGGGGCGGGTGGGGGGCGGGCAGCTCTCAACGCTAACCCGACTACAGTACAACGGAGACAAGGCTCTACGGGAAAATAGCTCAATTGTGTCGGCACACGAATAGGACGCTCGCGGGTATGGCAAAGGACACTCGCACCCGTAGCGAGTGTGCTTTCCACACAACCCCTTCGCTTGACTGGAATTGCAAGATACATGTATAGACGTATTCACACGTCAGAACCATCGAACACAATGACAAAACACGCTCAGGGTCAATACAACGACTAATAATCTAGTTTTGTCAGGTCATCCGACGCCAACGTAAGAAGGGCATCGACTCAGACAAAGGGGTAGTCGAAGCATGAAACAAGACAAAAAATCTCAAAGTCCTACATGATTTCGAGCTTCACGCCGCAGCTCTCTACGTAACTGGCGTTTCTTGGGCCTAAACCTACTACCCAGTTCGCACGACCTGCCCGCGGCCGCCTCTCTTGGTCGTTGCTCCATAGGGAACGACGCTAACACTGGGCTCTGCAAAATGTTGGGGCAGAGCCTCAGAATAAAATGGCTCTTACTGCTGTAACGGAGTGCGCCACAACAACAACAATGGGAAATCACCCAAACCTACTCTCCTCCTCTTTCCCCTCCCTACCCCATACCCCGTTCCCCGCTACAGAACCCAAACACAGAACACCGACTTTATGGAGTGAAGGTATTCGTAAGCATGACGTCATGCCACTATTTCTTACTCCGATACCGACTCTGCCCGACTTGCCAGAAATCTTAAGAGCGCGACCCGGTAAATAATAAAATAAACACACACACATGAAGTTCTCTCTAATAGGACGGAGAGGTGTATCTTCTGGTCCGTCGGTGCCTCAACGTACGACAACGGAATCGATGAAGGCGAGCCAAGTGATCATGCCCCCCTTCTTCAAATACACGTACTGTTGTATTGTTGCTCAATTTTGCCTACATCCATGGAAGAGCCGTAATATAACCTTCAAGATCTAGCAGAAGCCCTCCAGGACGCACTGCTCTTCCGGCACGATGGCGCTACACCTGCACCTCGTCGTGGGACGTTGCATCGCGCAGACAGGTAATCCCAAGAAAACGGGAGAAGCAGCAAGGTCGGGCCGGCGGAGGGGGGGCGGTTAGCTTCGAGCCGCGTGGTACCTTGGTTGTCGCTTCTGTTCTAAACAATGCGTATAATTTCTACAAGATCATGAGTTTGATTTCCAGGCCATGAAAAAGGGTACTTTGAAAATACCAGATGTATCTATCCCACTTTTGAGTGCGGTGTTAGTTATCATGGGCGTTCTTACCGCACCGTACCCTCCGAGAATACATGCTTGTATGTCGTCGAGGAGGACACACACCACGCCTTCGAAGGCAAATATCGTCGAAAAACGGAAAGAGCGTCGGCTTCCCGCTTCACCTTCCCTTGTCTACATCCGTCACCATCGTCTCCTTCGTGCACCACCATCTACTTGACACACCCGCTTTGTTCCTTACGCCTTGCCCTACAAAGCCCGACGATCGCGGACGATTTCCCCGGGGATAGGTAGCAAATCAGCATCAGAGGAGGAGGGGGGGAGAAACCGGCCTTTCGTTCGTACCTTGACCTGCAACGGAGGGGCGTGGCAACGCCGTCTTTCTCCTCGTGTTGGGCGTTGCCGTGCTGCACTACTCTGAGGTCGTCATAAACCACTAGCTGGGCAGGAGTATCGACGATGTACGTTAGCCGAGGCTCCTCTCCGTCCTCCTGCGTCAAAAAACAAAAACACGGATAAAAAAGGAGGGCATCGGGCATCAAACATGTGCGGATGTGTCACGAGGCACGCCGAACGGTTGGCAGCGTCCTCCTATTCCAACACAAGTGCTGAGCACGGAACTTTCGTTGTGTCCCGGGTCAAGGGCATTGCACCGCACCTAACCTAACCCTAACCCTAACCTAGCTCGTTGTTCAACGGCTGCTCCGGGAGTACAGAGGTAAGAGCAAAGAATGCCAGCCTTTGGCTAAAATAAACAATACCTCGGGGTCCAATAGACGGAGGCACTTTCCTGCCGTAGCCCATGTCATCACGTACTCTCGGGAGAGCACAAGCTGGAAGGAAAGCTGTGCTTTGATTACTAGCGCTGGAACTCACGCCGGTTAGTTTATCAACCTCTAGAGCAACGTCTGTCACGCGCTGCTGGCTGGACTACGCCAAGAAGTACGTTGATGCGGCTACTCCAATCTCGTGCATAACGCAGTGGTAGCGAAAATACCGCAGCTTGAGAACCCTGCCTGAGTTCGGGATCGATTTTTTATCAACGCGCGTGGGCGCTAACATACCTCGAGATCGGTACTATACCAGCACTTGACATACCTCGGAATCACTCCTCGAGTCCCAATCGTGATTCGGGATGCGATTCTGCGCGATCGAACGGCGGCGGCGGCGGCGGCGGTGGCAGCGGCGGCAGCAGCAGCGGCGGCGGTAGAGTGAGCGGCGGCGCGAGGCGATGGCAGCGTGCGGCAGCGTGATGTTTTTCGGGCGCCCGAGAGCAAACAACACGTACTCTGAGAGAAAACAGCGCCGGGGCCTTGTGGATTAGTTGCCGCTCTTCTTTTTGGTCGCGGGCCGAGGAAGCACTCGTTTTTATTGGGCAAACGCCGAAAATTCGGGTCTAAGATCTAGCAGAGCACGTTTGTATACCGCGCCGTGTCCGATCGCTTGACATTGACTGACGACAACAGCAACACAAGCGCTCGCTCTCCACGATTTGACTCGATTCTTCTCCATGCCTTGCATGTAGCTCACCCTGACGATTATGCCCGAGCGGACCATGCCCTCGATCACGCCCGAGTTTCTGGTCTCCCCGAACGCCAAGAGGTCCGAATGGCTGATCTCCGTCAGCGGCGTGCGCTCGAAAAACACGGTTTCGTCCTTTGGTAACGCCTACTCACAGCAAGCAGTGAACGTGTATTCGTACAAGCGCAACGGCAGGGGGGGGTCAGCGGGTGGGGGTTGACTCTCTGGCCTGAAAGGAAAATATTCTGCTATCTACTGCGTTGACGCCCGCAGCCGTGTATCTGCAAGAGCGGGGTGAAGAACGTCGGGTACCCGCCAAGAAGAATATTTTCTGTCGAGGAGTGAAAGGCAGCGTTCATAGGCATGGTCTTTGTTGTCGATCAAATTCTCAAGTACGACATTAGGAAATGGAGGAGGGGTGGATGAGAGGAACACAGAGGCCGAAAAGCATGCGCACTTCCAACCGCCATCACGAAAGGTTATGTAACCACAAACGCACGAATAGACAGGCGTACTGAAATCGTTTCATGACGATTGGGGCAGAGTACACCGACGAGTTTTATCCAATTCAACACACACACCCCATCCCATCTATCCCTTCGCCCCCCCTCCCCCTTCGTGATGTGAGAGCCTGGTCCGGTGAGAACCCGGCGTGCCCCTCCCGGCTTTGTAGGGATGCGAAGTCAACGGTCTAACGACTACGGCATGCACGGCTATGAGTACACCATCCCCTCGCCCCCCCTCCATATCGAAGCCCGCACGTACGTGTGACAAACACCAAGTGACGTTGTGGAAGTGGATCATGCGGCGGGAGGGCAATGAGCTACACAACAACGCGTGTGTTTCGTGCAACATGAAACAGAAGTCCCCTCAACGGCATGAAACTACAGCACGTAGGAGAATTGCGGGCACTATCCATCCATAGTTTACCTCATATTATAGTACGAATTTCCATTTGTTGCATCATAGAGGGAGGTATGCGACACAAACATGGACGGCCGCAACAAAGCTTGAAGGACCGTGCGCCTACCTTTCTGACAGAGGGCCTGCACAGAATGTTCGTGGTCTGGTAGTCTACGATAAAGAGAACCTTCCCCCTTGTCTCATCCACCAGGGGCCATCCCCCCGCCATCCCCTCCCTCGCAACGCCGCCGCTCCCGCTGCTTTCGGCGGAAGTTGAAGAGATGGTGGTAGGGACGAACAACTCCGAGGCTGACGTGGTCGCAGTGACAGCCTCGGTGAGAGTCTCGTAGTCCCCCCGCACCTCTCTCGGAGTGAGGATTCTGTCGAGGGGAAACTCGTCGATAACCGTCTCCTGCATCGCCCGGAAAGCAGTGTGGTCGGCGTCCGGTGTTTTCTCCCCACAGAGCTGCGAGGGGTGACCGGGCCGGGGGAGACGGTGGAAGATCGGGGGGGGGGGGCGGGCGGGGGGGGTGCTCATGTAAACGCATGCCGTACTCGTTGTACGATTGGCCTCGCATCCCTACAACTGCCGGGACGGAGCGATATGACTGTATTGGCCGGCCCAGGCTACGTTTCACAAGGATGAACCAGATGCTGGTATCATCCTGGAGCTGGAGATGCTTCAAGGCGAAGAAGGAGAGGTAAAAAGAAAGAAGGTAGAGATCGTGGGCATGATAAAAGGCCCTTGACTTCTGAGAAAGAAAATTGTCGCAGTGTATGCCTAATACGGACGCGGGGAGCTGATATCCGCGAGCCACGAAAAAACGCCGCACGTACGCGTATGTATGTACCTGCAGGAAATCACCCGTGAGCTTGAGCTCTATCTCGATGAAGAGGATGTGGTGCGTCGGGTGGGTGTCGCTCCACTCCCTGACCTCCGCCAGGCACACCGACAGGCAGTTGCACGACGACACCGCGTCCAAAATGGACAGGTGAAACACGAACCACCTGTGACGACGTTCCAACAAGGTAAACAGAGCGTCACACAGAAAGATAATTGAGGCTTCACGTAAAAAGGGGGGGGGGGGGGGGTGTACTCATAGTCGTGCATGCCGTAGTCGTTTGACCATTGACCTCGCATCCCTACAAAGCCGGGACGGAGCACGCCGGGTTCTCACCGGACCAGGCTCTCACATCACCAAGCGCGAAGCGCCGTGAGGTATTTGGCGAGTCGCATGAAGGGTGAGCTGCATCCTGCTAAGGGTGTTCGGCATCTTGTGCTTACTTCCTTGCGTACGGATGACAGCTACGTATGACTTAATTTATTTTCTTGTGCTTTCCCTTCCAGAGACAGTTGTAAGCACTGTGTAACTGCCTCGAGGAAGCTTGACCATTTTAACACAACGTGGTGCGATCATCCCCCGTTGCGCGGAGTGAGGCTTCTCGACCCCGCACAACATGATCTACTCGACCACCATTATGGTTACCGCAAAAAAAAAAACGGTAACCTGGTTGCCGAGTTCACGAAGTGAATTGGCTTGTTTAACAACGTCGTTGCCAAGCGACGAAAACCCAATCCCGATGGCAAACACCGAGTGGGGGGCTTGTTTTACAACGTCGTTGCCAAGCGACGAAAACCCAAACCCCGATGGCAAACACCGGGGGGGGGGTGTACTCATAGTCGTGCATGCCGTAGTCGTTTGACCATTGACCTCGCATCCCTACAAAGCCGGGACGGAGCACGCCGGGTTCTCACCGGACCAGGCACCGGGGGGGGCGGCTTGTTTTACAACGTCGTTGCCAAGCGACGAAAACCCAAACCCCGATGGCAAACACCGGGGAGGGGGGAAAGGGGGGGGGGGGATTGACGGGTTATATCCTCTGTTGGTTGGCGCGGCCATCATGGTGGTGCCAAATTTACCTGCCGGTTTTCCAATCGTAGTGGATGTCCAGCTCCAGGTGCCGTATCCCGGCGTCGAGCTGCGCCGTCAGCGACGGGTAGTGGTAGTCCCAGTAATCGCTCAGAGCCGGCACGTACGTTCGTCGGTGGTAAGAGTTGTGAGTCCCGATCACCTTTGGGGGACGTGGGGGCACCGAAAGGACAACAACTGCTGTTGTTAATCGTCGTTATAAAGAATTGTTTAGATTTCATGTAGTAGGCTGAAAGGGTAAGAGTTGTGCATCCCGATCACCTTTGGGAGACGGCGAACGGTGACAACAAAGGAAGTGACTGATGTTTGTAATTGTCGTTTCGAGAGATGTGTAGATTTCAGGTAGGCTGAAGGGAACGAGTTATTATGCGTTTCGATCATCTTTGAGCAACGTGGGGGCACCAAAGGATGAACACTGCTGCTGCTGGTAAATATCGTTTCAAGAGTTGTGTAGATTTCTTGTCGTAGGCTGAATCAGCCCAGGGGTATGTCCTGGTGCTGATTGCTGTCTTGGCCCCCATTTGAAAAAGTGCGGTGGAAAAAAGTGTTCCACGCGGCGGAACACGTGGTGGAACAGCAGGTTTTTGGTCAAACTTCACTTGGTTTTATTGTTACGGCCCCAGGTACGCGTGTCCGTGTTGCATGTTTGTGGTTGGACTACCGGAGGAAGCGACAATCAGTTGAAGCGCCGAAAAAGGTCTTGAGGCGGGATAACTACTGTAATTCCCCGAGAAGGTCCGTGCACGAAAAGAAACCTTCCCAGCAAAACAAGTGTACTTCGAAGCACATAGTGTACTGTATGCCAAATACACACGATGAGCCTGTTGCCCACAGGGGTGATATCGCTGCATGCTGCTCGGGGAACAGGAGACACCCACAGGTTTGTTCAAATTTATCCCGGGCTCTTACCTGTTGTGACTCTACAAGTCTTCATGTAATTATCGTCGCTTTGTTTCTGGTACAGAGAAAGAACAAGAGGAGCTTGCGCCTGAGTACAAAAGGAGTGGAATATATCTAGCGCATGAACCTTGGGGAATTCTGCTGCAAATTTATTACTTTACCATTACATAAGCTACCGCGGCCGACGCATATCTTTGTTGGATTTTCGGCCAGCCCCCCTTGCCTGACTTACTTGGAGCTGGTTGATGTACAGGGTGGAGGTGCCCTGCTCGTCGGCAGCCGGCACCACCGAAGATGGTAGCTGGCCCGAAGATCGTACGCAGGACGTGCATACCGGCGAGAGCGCCCAAAAGAAAATCGCCACGGCCAACAAAGCCAAGAGCAAGGTCACCGTCACCATCGCGGTAGTCCAGGCGAACTTCAGCGCGGCCAGAAGCCTGCGTCCGCAGACCGCCGGCCATCTCGTCCTCCACGAAGAAAAGGCGAACAACGGAGGAAAACGATACCCGGCGCCGGCGCTTTCTGTGCCAGAGTCATCGCTTCGCCCTGCGGTGCTGGAGCAGACTCTCAACAGGCAAGGGTTCCCTTCCTCTTCGTCCCTGGACAGCTCGTGCTGAGGGGAGACCAGAGAGTCGTCGAGGCTGCTGGGGGCCAGGGGAGTGGCAGCCGAGCGCGGCGACAGCGTAGGTGCAAGTTGACGCGGTGCCGAAGAGACTCCGCTTGTAGTCACCACCATAGTTCCGGTTTCACAAACATCACCATGACAGATCGCCGTCTTCCCGCTGCCCATGAAGCTCGGTGGCATTGGGTCCACAATCTGCTGCCTCTGCGAGTGAGTAGCCTTTGCGGCTTCGGCAGCCATCACCCGCGGCCCGGCTTTCCGTATGTAAAATGTACAAGTATAGGACGGTGAACGGGCCGTTCGATCTTCTCGGCCGATGCCTGCTGACGTACGGCAGCACGCCACTCCCCTCTGCCCTGCGCCCGGCCAGCTCGAAGTACCGTAAACGCGAAAGGGAGTGGACCTGGCCTTGCTCCCCGCCGACCGTCAGGTGTCGATGCTAGCCTGGGAGCGCCGGGTCCCGCGTGCGTGTGGTGTCTTCAACCCGCTCTCTTCTCGGAGCTGCTCTCCTATTAGCAATACTCTGGAGTATTTTCCTAAAAAAGTCATCCATTGTAGGTTCTCTTCCACCAATCAAAACGCCGGAAACAGATTTCAAAATTCTAAGAATTGTGCTGCCTGCTGCCTGCTACTGCTACTGACCCGCTCTTTAAGATTGATTATGGCAAGACGGGCTACATCATGACATCCACTACCCAAATTTCCAGCAGCGACACTTCGGCCTCCGCCACACAAAGTCCGCTATCGTTTCACCGAGCACCGAGTATAGGTTCCAGATATGTTCTCGCTACATGAGCGGCGCACTCTTCATTCCGACATCAAGCTGCCGCGTCGCGCACACACACGCATGAGCGTCTCATTCTTCAAGAGAAACCACTCCAGCAGGGAGGAATCCACCAAGACACAAACACGAACACACCATCACGGGCGAATGTAGCTCTGGAATCTCTCACGTTCTGAATGTACTGCTGCAGCATACCGTCATAAGTACGCGTGTCTACGCGGTGGGTGAGAACCTAAATGGGAAATCCCGCGATTTCCCTCTCAGGATGTGGATTGTACCACGCCTCTCTTATTATGATGATTGCATGTGAGCCTGTGGAATCTGGAGCATTCGTTATGTACCCTCACAATAAGTGGTACTTCATGCCCTTCTCCTCTTGTACTTGAGTCGCTTCAGGGACCAACAGCAGTAGCAGCAAGAAAGCGTTGAGAACGTAAAGCAATAGGCATTATTTTATGCCTTTATACTGTAATATTATAGTAGTAGTACAGACGTGTACGTGGATGGATATGCTTTCTTCCCACGTCGTCTGCATCATGCCCGGACACGTACTCCTTGGCCACCTTTCTTGGGTGTTTCACGCTTGGCGCCTTGCTCTTCCCCACTCGCACATCCGTGCCATGTATCAAGGTGACTCGTACGCCGCCTTTTGGACATTGTGAACAAGGTGTGATACACCTGCTGAATTGAATTTTACAGCAGGCAAGTCCAAGTGGCTGTCTATGCATAAATACGAGGTGTGATACACCTGCTGAATTGGATTTTACAGCAGGCAAGTCCAAGTGGCTGTCTATGCGTAAATAACACGCTCGCCAAGCCACGTCGTACTGAGAACAGGACGTGAAAGCACCGTTCAGCGAGCATCATCTTCGTCTCACAACGTTCCTCCTCCAAACGAAAGGTTTTGACGATGAGGCCGTCGATCTTTCTCTACGCCTGGGTGTACTCATCCGCCCTTCCCCCCCGCCCCAAACTTCCAACAGTCAGCATCCACACCGACGTCATCTCAACCTCAGCCTTGATAGGAACAACGACAACAAAACTTACCGACACAACCACCGGAACTCCATCAACAAGCATAGAAACCTCGATTCTGACCAGCTTTCCGCCTCAGATGTCTTGGGTCGAAACAACCGCCGAGCCTTAGCCTTGCCACGGACTCGACACATGCACAAGCACAACCCCTTCAAGACCCATCGTCCTCTGGACACAACCTTCGGTTGGTTGCGGTCCTCTAAACACTTTTCGCGCAGCATGGTGTAGCGGCACAACGCAAACAAGCGCGAAAACGATGAGTGCCCACACATCTCGGTGCCCCCCCGGCAAAGGTGCAACTCTGTGGCGACATGTAGGAAGCGATAAAAAACGCGTGGGGAAAATTGATTGTTGCTGTGTTCTTCACAGCTAGTCTAGAAGCCTCAAACTTTCCGCGCGATGAAAAGAGACCTCGGGTTCAGCCTAGAGACAGAATTACAATCCCGCCGACAGAGAACGTCAGATGCTCGCACGCCTTGTATTGTTGACTTTAGAGATCTCCATCCGCATCATTAAGCCTTGAGGGCGGACTTTCCCAATCGAGCCGTCCCCTCTGCACCTTCTACAATTTCTCTCTCTCCCTCTCCATGTTCTTCCGTAAACACGATCAAGTCCCGAATGCTGTTCACGAGAGGGTCTCCCTCCCAGCGAGTCCGCCCAGTCCTACCCTCCCCCTCTACAACCCTCTCTTCGCTGCGAACATGACGGAGTTCCGTTGGCCGTGAGCCCTTTCCCCCCTACGCGAGAACACCGGGTAGGAAAATAAAATCTTCTCGAGACCGGCCCACCCACCGCCCTGCTGCTAACGTTGCTCGACGCCTCTGCATCGTATATAGACTCATTGCCGCGCCGGCCGCAGCCGGTACGGCAGTGCACCCATCCACAATTATCGACGAACATGACCAGAGTCTCCCGAGAGAGAGAGATAGTGCCCCCACAAGGGGCACCCCCCCCCCCCCCCCCCCTTCACTTCTTGGAAAACATAATGGTGTCCCGCTTGCTGTTGACGAGAGACCCGTCGTCCCTGCGGGCGCCGACGGCCGCCTGGGCGGCGTTGTGCTTCATCAGCTGCTGCGGCACGTGCGACTCCGTCGACTGCAGGTACTCCCTGAGGCCAAACATGATCTCCTCATCGTGCTCCGTGAGGAAGGAGGTGGCCACGCCGTCCTTGCCCGCTCGGCCGGTACGCCCGATGCGGTGGCAGTACGTCTCGATCTTGTTCGGCAGCTCGTAGTTGATGACCTCCCTGCGCAGGGGGAAGGGAGGGGGGGGCTTGTTGTTGTTGTTGTTGTTGTTGTTCTATTCACGTGAGGGGGTACTCAAGGAAGCGCACGCCGTAGCCACTAGATCATTGACTTCGCATACCGGGACAGAACGATATGTCGGGTTTTCGCCGGCCCAGGCTATTATCTACGTTTTACAAGGATGAACCAGAAGCTGATAACCTTGGCAGTTAGCGGGGGGGTTGGGGGTTGGGGGATCAATTTATCGATCACCGGGTTAGAGCTACAAAGGTGCCCATTGACGTGCAACAGAAACACTCGGTTCGTTCAGCCAACGCGGAAACGAATGGGGGCTACGGGCGCTTTCGGCGCATCGGAACCTGGGACGATTCAGAGACAAAAAAAAACAAAAAATACCCCGTGTGTATCGAGGCGCTTTACGCCAACCTCTGGGCTGTATGAACGGCGTGTATCTACGTGCCACCAGAGCCGTAAACGAGGCTCGAAAAGCGTGTAGTGTTATATTCCGAAACATCGGGGAAGCTGATTACGTACGACGGAGCCCAATCAGCCCCCCAAAAAAGTGTGTGGTGGCAACACACAGTCAGTAGCAGTCTTGGGCATGATTCTGACCTTGACATCTGGGATATCGAGGCCGCGAGACGCCACGTCCGTAGCGACCAGCACGGTGTAATCGCCGTCGCGGAAGCTCTCCAAGTTCTCTTCTCGTTGGTCCTGCGGGATGCGATCGATCATCATGGCATCAGGAGACGAGGAAATCAAACGACAGACGACGCAAAAATATCAAGTCCAAGGAGACTCCTGCAGTGTGGCGTTCCTCCTGTTGTGACCACGGCTGGTGCTTCCAGCAATAGTGCCGAAACGTGCAAAATACCTACAAAATGGGATAACAAGAACAAACAAAAGAGAGCTATTATAGACGAAAACTAAGAAAACAACGAGATGCCTAGTCTGGACGAGATCGCGCACGAAAAGAGGACCAAAAACAGTACAGCAACTGGCGCCCCACGACACAGACGAAACAAAAAAAAAAAAAAGAGGGGAGAGAGACGGGTGGACGAGACTCAACAAACAAACCACGAGGACGAAAGGCCCGGCCGTACTGGACTGGTTGAACCTTAATTGCGGTCCGGCGCCAAAGACACAGACCCACCCCGCTGCAGCTTGGCAGCACCAAGAAAGGTCGGAGGAGGAGATCGGAGGAGGTGCGAGAAGGGCGCCAACGCCACAAACAACCACGCGCTCATCGTCACCACAAACACGACGACGATGGCGATGGCGATGGCGATGGCCATGTTGTCGACCAACAACAAACCACAAAATAAGAAGGACAACGAGAACAACAAACACCAAACAAGAAAACATCAAGAAAACAACAACGACAACAACAGGAACAACAGGAACAACAGGAACAAACACCAACCAACAACAACAAACACTTGCCAAAAAACAAACAAAAATACTTGCCTGTGTCTTGCCGCCGTGGAGGACCCCGGTGGGGAAGCCCGCCTGCTCCAGCTGCCGCCCGAGCATGTCCGCACTCTTCTTCGTGTTGATGAAAACCAGAACCTGAGAAATGGACCAGATTACGGCGACGGGTTTGAGGGTCCCACACAACGGAAAACACATTGGGGGGGGGGGGAGGAGAAGGTGAGAACACGTCTCATGTTCGTGGGGGGGGGGGATTGATTGTTGAGAATCGT